CAACACCGTCGAGTCCCTCAAGCTGCTCATCAGCACACTGCAGAGCGGCATACACACACAGGTGAACACACACACACAGACCAGCTTCACAGTGCATTTCACTGACTTCGAGCTGCATCTGTATTCTTGGAGAAAGCCTGTAAAATAATCCAGAATTACATGTTTTGTGCTTAATGACACACAATTATCACAGTGAATTTAATTAACTATATGTGAACTCTTGTAGAAATAAAATAAATAAATGTAATAGGAAAATAAATAAAGGAATAAATGGCGTGATAAAACAAATACAATTTTTTTTTATATATATATAGTCTTTAATTTTATTTTGATTGTTTATTTTAAAATTATTTATTTTAATTTGACACTTTTATGATTTAATACATTTTTAAGTGTTTCATTTCATTGTTTTTATTTTAAAATCCTGTATGTATTTTAATGTTGCATTCTTATTATTTTATAAATTTTTTTATTTTCGTTTTTTACAGTATTTATTTTAATTAACATTTTTAAGATTTAATTCATTTTAGTGTGCATTTTTATTTTGATCATTTTAAATTTAAAATCATTCACTTATTTTAATTTCACATGCCTATTTTTATTAAGTGTTTTCTATTGGTTTCATTTTAAAATATTTTTTAATTAAGTTTTAAGTAATTTATTTCATTTTTTATTTTAAATGTATTTTAATTTCACATTTCATGATTTAATTAATTTTAGTATTTTATTTTAAAATCATTCATTCATATTAATTTTGCATTCGACTGACAGTGATGACATTGTATATTTTCATGAAACATACAATAGATGATGTAATAAAAGAAATACAATTTTTTAAATAATATTTAGTCCTAAATTCATTTTTATATTACTTTTTTCCTTTATGAATTATTTTCTGTCTTTATTCTTTCATTTATTTTTTATTTATTTCTTTGTGTATTGATGAACTGGTTTATGTTTGTGTGTATTGTGCTAGTTCAGACGTTGAGGTGTTCTCTGTGTCTGTAGGTGGATGGCGACTGGAGAGCGGAGCTGCTGTCGGCTGTTCAGCACGTGTTTGTTCAGGAGCGAGACGTGCTGAAGAACGTCTTATACTCTCATCTGGAGCGACTGGACACGGCTGACGCTGTCATTCATCTCAGCCAGCTGGAGAGAGCGCTAGCGGAGCAGGTTAGCATACGCCACACTCTAGTGTTGATGTTAGATGTTCAGACTGTAACGTCTGTGCTGGTGGTTGTGTTCAGGACGCGAGGCACAGGGAGCTCATGGGAGCGCTGTGCGCCGCAGACAGAAGCAGCCTGCGCTCAGAGATCCAGCAGCTCAGAGCTCAGCTCACACAGCGCCACCATCAGGACGCCGCCGGTATGACACGCACTCCTCACTGTTCACGCTGCCAGCTTCAGCTTCCACTGCATAAAGCTTTCTGTTCTTCAGGAACGGAGAGCGAGAGCGAGGCCGAGCTGATGCCAGGCGGTGCTGCGGTGGGATGCGGCTCTGATCGACTGAACCAGACTAAACTAGAGCTGGAGAGCGCTCTGAAATCACAGCACAAACACCTGAAAGAGCTCGACGCACTCAGGTGACACACGCACGGCTTTTATTGATATATACAGTATATATATGTGACCCTGGAGCACAAAACCAGTCATAAGGGTCAATTTTTCGAAATTGAGATTTATACATCATCTGAAAGATGAATAAATGAGCTTTCCATTGATGTATGGTTTGTTATGATAGCACAATATTTGAAAATCTGGAATCTGAGGGTGCAAAAAAATCAAAATATTGAGAAAATCATCTTTAAAGTTGTTCAAATTAAGTTCTTAGCAATGCATGTTACTAATCAAAAATTAAGTTTTGATATATTTACGATAGGAAACTTACAAAATATCTTCATGGAACATGATCTTTACTTAATATCCTAATGATTTTTGGCATAAAAGAAAAATGTATAATTTTGACCCATACAATGTATTTTTGGCTATTGCTACAAATATACCCCAGCGACTTAAGACATATGTTGTGAATAATATAGTCAGTAATAATATATGTAAATTATATATGCACACATAATCAGTTATAGTAGTCTGTAAAATATATTTATATAAATGAGTAAAGTTATATATAATTAACAATTATATAATTATTATTAAATAATATAATTAACAATTATATATAACTAAAATATATAATATGTAATACATATGACAATATATATACAGTATATATATATATAATACAATATACAAATTATATAAATAATTGTCTTTAATTTTTAATTTGCATAAAAAATTTTTTGTATATTTGTATCATCATTGTAATGTGTGAGTAAAATAATATAAATATTTATTTAATATAATAATAATAATAATATATTATGTTATATATTACATTTATTATTGCACATAATGTAATTTATATTTGTAACACATATGTATTACATATACATATCATAGTCTAAATTTATATTATTTTTATAATATTATACATTATAAATAAATATGTATAAATAGAAATAAATCTGTATATTTTCATAAAAATGTTTTTGTATGTTCATGAGGGTTTGTAAGTGTTTTTGATATCTGACATTTTATGTTCGAAAAGCATTTGCTTTAATATTCAGATTATTCGACTTTTTGCGCTGATTTAATTAGCTAGTCTTGCTAGTAGAGTTGGAGGCGATTTAAAGCAACTGTATGAAAGTTTTGTACCGTAATATCAGTTTCAGAGTCATTCTGATGGTACACTGACTTCTATTTCAAATGCACACACACAGCTATTTACTATAATTATGACAGTGATATAATTACCACTCGCTTAACTGTAGGGGCTCCAAAGACACATAGAGGAGTGAATAAAGCTGCTGTGTGTGCTGTGCAGGGCCGAGGTCTCACTGAAGGCCGCTGAAGTCGATGCATTGAACGACAGACTGGCACTCGAGCAGAAGAGAGCCAGAGAGCTGCAGTGGGCCTTCGAGAAGGAGAAACGCAAGTCTGACAGGAAGGAGGAGACCGAGAGAGAGGAAGTGGAGGTAAAAACCATCACTGAAGTAACATGTAATGAGTGTTTTACATCAAGTGTTCGATTATGTGCATCATTATGCGTCTCTGCAGGAGCTTAAACTGGCTCTGGAGGAGCAGGCGCGGGAGGCCAGCGTCTCTGCAGAGCTGCAGGTGCGTGTCATCTAACGCTCTGAGTGTGTTTCACTGTGTCCGAGCAGGAGATTGAGCCCTGTGTGTGTGTGTGTTTGTGTGTGTGTGTGTTTGTTTACGTGTGTTTGCGTGTGTGTGTTTGCGCGTGTGTGTGCGCGTGTTTGCGTGTGTGTTTGTTTGTGTGTGTGTGTGTTTGTTTGTGTGTGTGTTTGTTTGTGTGTGTGTGTGTGTGTGTGTGTGTGTGTGTGTGTGTGTGCGTGTGCTTGTGTTTGC